AATATTTCCCTAAGATCAGAGCGCTACACTTCCCCAACTGTTTCTAACACATGCAATCAGCAACTGTGGCAATTAAGAGGCCTAATCAGCATCTGGATCAGTCTTCTCACACAGCCCCCCCTTTGCAATAGGAGCAAATAAACGGTAGTGGAGATGAAAAACCCGCACCAGCCGGGACCCACTGAGGGGCAGAGGGCCCGTGCAGGGCTGTTTGAGGGGCTCCAGGAGGGATTTTGCTCCGACAGAGCTCCCATGCCGGGTTTCCCACAGGGACCTGCCCATTATTCCCGGGAAGGATTAGGATGTGCCCTGCAACCGGCCATGCTCCAGCTTTGGGTGGGAGACCTGGGGCAGGGCTGCTCAAAGAAACGCACGGCAGGCACCAGACCCTTCTGCAGAGAGCGCAAGCAAATGAGAGCCCTGCTGGCCCCAGATTACCTGCGGCTGCCTAATGAGCCCCCCCAGGGACTCCGTGGGAACCCATCACTCCTGTCAGAAGGTTAAATAAGATTTCAATTAAGTGACACGTCAAACTGTAAGACCAGCTGCTTCGAAACCGCCTCTGTTTACACGAGCCCTGCTCCGGCGAGAGAAGGCAGCTCGGCGTTCAAAGCCAAGCCTCCAGCTGCATGCACACCCCTTGGCATTTCAGGACCGAACGCAGTTCCCCCCCACCAGCCCTGGCCGTCCCCTGGCTGTCCCACCGCCACGTCCCCACCAAGCAGCTCGGAGGGGTCCGGGGCACGCTGACACCCAGCAGCCAAACGCCCAGAGCAAGCGCAGCCGGGAGAGGCGCTCCCCGAGGAGGCCTTGTGATCGGCTCCGAAGGCGGCATTGCGGCATTGCCCTGGGACTGGTCTCGCCGCGACTGCCCCAGGATGCCTGGCTGCCCCCAGGGAGGGGACGTCACCCCTCCACAGCACCTTTTGGGGCTTTCTGAGCCGCTCTTCTGCCGCTGCCCGGGCTTGGGGGGCTGCACGTGCACACACACCTTGCTCCCACCCTGTGGTGCCCCGTGCACCCCTTGGACC